CTCATTTATTTGATATTCATCGCTCTCTGCAATCTGATGTCAATCTAGTCTCCCATCTACATCACCTAAAAAGCCTTTTTTCAATCCATACTTTGTGCTTTGCACAAAGAAGATGCTATTTAGAGAATGAGCAAATGAATGCATGACCTATTAGACTTCTTAAGTGAGGGTTACGAGTGCTCAGAACAGAATACAAGATCTTTCCATAGACATATGCTGATGTCTAGGTGGGACTGCCAAGAATGAATCCTGAGCACATTTCTAGGACCACGGCAGGCACCTGATGAATACAAGGTTGAAGTCCTTGCTGCTGGAGGAAGTAGGTTCTCCTGATGAAGCTGGGGAAAAAGAAAAATTAAGCCTCAAGAAACAGAAGATGTCAAAAGCAAGTAAAAATTCATAAGCACTTGGAATTAAGAATAGTATGCCAGATTATGATCCTGTCACCCTAACTAATGTGGAAAAGTGTGGAAGAAATGCCTAGATCCTTACCTTGAAACCGTCCTGCAGAGTGTGTTCACCTAGGGACAGGAATATACAACAGCTTTGGAGTCTAAAAGAATTGGCTTCAAAGGCCAACCCTGGCCGTTCCTGTTCCTGCTCTTGCTCTCTTGAAGCAACTGAGCCTCAATTTTCTCATCTGTCAATAAACAATATCTGCCTGGCAGGACTGTCATAAGAACTAATGGTGAAGGTGAATACATGTAACACAGCGAGCAGAGGGCCTGCCACAGAGCTCAACAAATCAGAACTATTATGATGTGTGCTCTGTAAATTACCCATTTGCCCTAAAATCTTCCACTGAGTTATCTTATGTGAAAATCATCACCTCTGGCAGATGAGGAAACTGGGGCTTCAGCAAGGTTGCACTCTAGATCCAAAGTCACAAAGCCAGTCAGTGCGGATTATCACACCGCATCTCCTATGCTGGGTCACTGTCTGGAGCCTGTCTAAGACTCCCCTCTCCTTCTCCTGCTGTTGAAACTGGACAGGTGTCCCCGATTCCCACGGAAAGTCCTCAGGAAAGAAGAGAGCTGCTAAGCTCTGCCCAGCTGGGAGCCTCTTAGAAACCTGTCACTGTTGGAACATTTTATGCTCACACGTTGTACCTGAACTTGCTTTAGAGACTCACTCCCATGTTCTCTGTGGTTCTTATGGAGTGACATAGAAGAGAACTAGAGGAAGCTTCTGTTATTACATCACTTACCTGATTAAGTGTAAGATGCAACAATGTTGGTGCCATGACAAAGGGCAAGTTGCATTTATGGAGTCCATCCGCAAAGTAAGACCTGTCCAAAGGACAGTTCTGAGGCCCTGAAATATGTTCTGAGCTCTCCTCTCAGCCTCTCCTTCTTACCAAATGCTGCTCTTACACCTCACATAAATTAATTCACCATAAACCGTCTCCCATACAGCATCTCAATTGCCATCCTAATTTCATATGAAGGGAGGTAACCTGTCCCCTGATTAGAAGAGGCCATGCATCCTTGAGCCAGTGAGGTAGTATTTTCATGGGTCCTTCCTAACATCTTATCACTTAAGTGGTCATGTTCCCTGAACATCTATGACACCTCCCCAGTTTTCAGGATTGGTCCTAGGTTTGAAATTCGGAATAAAGCTCTTGAGGATGCCACACATATATCTCTCCACCCCAAAGCAGTAGAACACGTAGAAATAGACTTAACCTAGCAGAGAACTAGCTGTGATATGTAAGGAATGCTGTCATCATCCTACAGAGCATTCTTTTTACAAAACCCAATGAGAAAGAAAATCATTTGGGATCCAATATAAGCTGCCTTTGCCTAAGGCTGTCAAACAATGACTTGAACAAAATTAATTGGTCTGAAAAAAAGAAGCACATAATGATGTAACACCCAATTTCCCCCAGCCTCCAAATTTGGAGGCGGAACCACTAAAAATAAAACAAAATTCCTATTATCCTGAAACTCCACGTCCTTTCTCTAAGTCAAGGGTTAACAAACTTTTTTTTTTTTTCTGGTAAGGGCCAGACAGTAGATAGTTTAAGCTTCACGGGCCATACAGACTCTGTCACAACGACTCAACTCTGCCGTTGTGGTGCAAAAGCAGTCATAGACAAAATGTAAACACATGGATATGGCTCCATGCCAATAAAAATGTATTTATGGACACTGAAATTTGAATTTCATATAATTTTCACAAGTTACAAAATATTATTCTTTTGATTTTTTTCCAACCATTCTTTGCTTGTGGGCTGTACACAAACAGGCAGGGTGCTGGATTTGGCCCAGGGACTATAGTTTGCCGACCCCTACTCCAAGTCAGCACATATATTCAAGCAACTCCTGAATGGGTGTCTCCACCAGCTCAAGGACCAGCTCAACAGGGCATCCATCCTAGTGCCTAGCATAGGACCTGACGCCACTCCCAGGGGCCACTCCATGTGACTTCTTCAATAAGTGGCTTGATTCACAAAAAAAGACCCAGAAGACTGGATTTTAGAGTTAGACAATGATCTCTTGCTTATGAAATGCCATCCTCCTCCTTTGCCGTATCCCAAATTACTGGTCATGTTGCTGGTTGCTTCACGTTCATACAAATAAGTAAGTTCTGCAAGTTCACGCCACTGAAGCTTTCCATACAAACGGAAGACCAGGTTTCCACCCCTCCACCTCAGCTTCTGCTTTTGCTTACTCCCAGTTTTCAAAATAACAGGAACCTGAAGAGTAATAAAGTTAACGTTCTAATCCAATAGACATCAGAGAATATTCTTATCATCTATCAAGTGATTACAACTCAGTACTGATAATTTTTTTTCATTCATTTCTGGGAAGTAATACCTCTAGGCATAGATAAATGTAGAAAGACTGGAGAAGCACAATATGAAGTAAGCTCCCAACAATTGAAAATTTTTGTGGATATTTTCATTACCGTGTCAGCATAATGCAGCACTATGAGTTGAATTTCGTTCCTTCCTCTTCCTTTCTGCCCCCTCCAATTTCTGAGACTTAGAACATTTACTTGGTAAGTCACATACTCAAAGAAGCAATTTCAATGAAGCATACAAAGTGCATCCAGCTTTTTGAGCGAGGATGACCAACCCGAAAATTTCAGATATGAGAATAGAGGTCCACTACATGTTTCAGTTTTGAAATCAACCCATGTCACAAATTCCAGTTTTATTCTAGGGCATTCCAACAGACAGAAGGCTATATTTGGGAACAATCTTGTGCCTTTAGGCAAAGTAGTACCTGATCAAGACAACTTATCCTCTCTCTGGGGTAGTGAATTTGGGTTTGCACACAAAAAACTGTGGGCTGCTGCTCAAATCCTCACGGTGATGGGCATGGAGGAAAAACAGTAACCACAGTTTTCAAGACTACCCACCTACACAAAAATCCAACAGCAAACAAAGAACGGGCCATCTCACTGAGCAGAGACAAAGATATTCATTTCCAAAGCTGAAGAGACCCAACTGCAAAGCAAAACCTGACTTTCTAAGTGGAGACTGAGTTGAGCTGTTGTGTTTGCTTACAAGAATCTCGAGTTTCCACATGCATCTAAATAATGTTTGGTTCTATGAGAGAGAACCAGAAAGCACAGCAAAGTTGTAATAGGGAGGGGAAAGAGGAAAGCACTGCCTATATGCTCTGTAAACACAAGTCAATTTCTAAAGATGCCTTCGTGATCCAAATGTTAAAGCAAAGTGACCAACTGTCCCGGCTTGTCCAGGACTAAGGGGGTACCTAGATGGATGACATTCAGTCTTAAAACCAAGATAGTCTGAGCAAACTGGGAGGCACTGGTCACCCTAGAAAGTCTCTTCTAGTTAAAGTCTTTGAATTTTAAATGCAACAAATTCCCGAAAACACCTAGCATGATGAAAGACGCAAAACCCTACGATAAAGAAAATCCTGATTCCCAGCAGCTCTACTGTAAATGACTACAAGCTCAAACACCACTGGTAACAGAAACACTACAGATTATTCCTGGGCTATAAAGGAGAGGGGTTCATGTATATGTGCCATTTTTAGCTAATCCATCATGTCTAGAGCCCAAATAAATAACATGTGGGGCAGAGAGTTACAAAGATTCTGATTAACACCTACAGCCTAGAACCCAAAACTCCGTCAACAAGAGGGAACCTTTCAACACTATTCACAAGTCCCAGACATTCTTGGGAACAAGAACTTTCTAGACTAGGGAGTTCTCTGCTATCATAGCTGAGTGCCACACTCTTCACAGGAAGGGAGCTCACTGTAACCTGCCGTGATACAAAACAAGTACAAGGAAACCTGGATCCATTCGTCCCAACCAAATGACTCCCTCAGTCTCCTAGAGAGCTGCTTTCTACACCCATCTTTGACTTTTAGGAGGAAAATGACAGTCAACCAAGTTCATTCAACACCCAAGCTTTAAAGTCTATGATGTATTAGACAAAAATTCAGGTCAGTCGCCTGCCCCTTTTCTTTCTCCAGTTCCAGCTCTGATGCTCACCACTGGCTTTCAGCGTGAGGATCTCCCAGCCCTCTCAGAGCCTCACTAACTACGGAGACTGAACTTCTTTAGTCAGGTGAGCGACTCGCCTATTTGACAAAGATTTACAATAGTAATTGAAACCAAAAGGAGTTTATAACACTTCTGAACTGTTCTAACTGACCATAATTTTTCAACAGCCCACTCTTGACTATGAGAACTGACGCAAATCTTAAAGGAAAAAAAACACCTCAAAACATTGTCACAGCTTAGCCAGATCTGACCCAGCCAATGGGCTGCTACACAATAAAAGGAACTCTCCAGAATTATAATTCTGGTAGTTATTATTTTTCAAGTGGGTAAAAACTATAATAATAAATTGGACACTATACCAAGATATCAGAGGCATTTCTTCTGGAGACCCTAAGTATTTCATTAAGGACATTGGTAATTCAGAAATAAATAAGTAATAAGCAAATAGACCCTTACAAGTTGAAATGGCAAAAGCAAACAAACAAAAAACCCTACGAAACAGGGCTCCCTACCTTCTTTTTGGAGTGACTTCTTTCCTCCTCCTTTGTGGCTTTGCTATTTTTCCCAGCGCGGGACACCTTCTGGTCCCCAGACTGCTTGATGGTGATCTTGATCTCAGGTGGGCATATATAGTTCTCCAGGTTCTTTGGGGGTTTCTTAGCCCGCTTTGTAGTCTGAATCTTCAGCTTCAGACTCCCCTCTGTGAAGTTTGCCTCCTTGATAGAGAACTCCTGTTCTTCCAGGCCGTCTCCTGCCACCCATTTCTCACTGTCTGCATTGGAGTTGGAATCCACATCCCGTCCTGAGCCCAGTTCATCCTCCTCCTCTGGCTCCATGCGTTCTCCGCCCACTGGGATCCCCTTCCCAGTTCCTGGAGCAGAGAGCAAAGGTTCTCCTGCACAGCCAGGAGCAGTGGGGGGCTTGGCTGAAGAGACCGGCAGGAATTCCGACTCGCTCCCTCTTTGCCGGGAGGTGCTTAAGATTTCCCTGGACTCCATGACAATCCTACAGTCTTCAGGAGTTCTCAGGAGGGGGAAGGGAAAACGGGAAAAGGGAAAGGTGAGAAGAGAGGATACCCAAAATTCCAAGGACAAAGTGGTCCAGCTGCTGGATTCACAGTCCCAGGGATGCAGACACGGTGAGGTGTTCAGAAGAGATCAGATCTGCAACTGAGAAGCAGAGAGATAATTAGCCATGGCAGGAAGGAAAATGATCTCAAAAGTAACTCAAGCTAATTTCCAGAAGCCCCGTCCCTCTTATCTATGGCATCAGAAAAAATGATGGAAAGAAATCAAACCAGAATGTGCACATTCCCAAATAGGATTATATTGGAGCATAGGGCGAAACACACACACAGCCCTTCATTGAATTGTTATTAATTTTTATGGCTGGAGGCCCAAGAATAAAGATAAGAGAGGCAAGTCCTCCAGTCCAGTAACAAGCTAGAAGCTTCTTATACTGAAGCCACAGCTGGCTGAGTCACCATCAAAACCAACCATGACGAAAGGGAAGTCTGAAGTGTTGATGCTCAGGTCTGTGGGAACTGCATTTGGCTGGCTTCTTGCACCACTTCCCTCTCACAAATGAAGAACAGTTTGCAAAGCTGAACACAACCCCAGAGCTGCCGGGGTCAAGCTCTCCATTCCCTTGGAGGAAGGACATTTAGCCGACCTCTTGACCATTCTTCCTTGATCATTTTTCATTGTAAATTATTTGAATTATGCAAAGTCTTATCTTTATTTCTTAAAATAAATGCAAAGCTTAGGTGCAGGCTTGCAAAAGGAAAACAAAAAGAGTTCAGTGGGAAATCATTTCTAACGCTGTGATTAATACAAAACAACCCCTAAAAGTGTTTCCATCGACACAAAAGATATTTAATCACTATTAATTGTTTAGAAAAAAGTAGCCATTCCAGAGAGTTTTACTTCCCTTTCTGGTCCTTAAATAAAATGGCATTATGTCTACATGACAACAACAACCAAAAAAGAAAGGGAGCATTTTACAGGCCTTTGGACGTATCAGAAATCACCCCCAGGATCTTTGGTTTTTGATTCCGCCTTCCTCTCAGAGGAAAAGAAAAACATCAGCCAGGCTCTCTGCGGGCTATCACAGCTTCAGCTAAGCTATCCTTCACCCTTATTCACTGTACGTCCCATTAGTCCCAATTTCATATTCATCATTTTCAAAGCCCAAAAAGAAGCCCAAATGCTCATTCTCATGAGAAAACCTAGAGCCTGGGGCTGCACAAAACTTCAAGACATCATCTCTTTCCACCCCTAGGCAATCAGACAGATCACACTCAGGCCTTCTTAAATGGCTGAATACTCTGGAAGTTTCCCAGCAGATGACATTACTGTACACCTTAGGTTTCCACCTTTGAGCTCATCAGTGTAAGGTATTGGCCAGCCAATGTGCCCACCAAAACATCCCAATGACGCCTGAAAAGATACATTCAGAAACAGCCAAGAACTGGAAACCTGAAGACCGGGTGCATATTTTCTCCCTCTGGAATCAGTACATTTTCAGCTGACACCCTGTGTGGAAGCCAGCCAGCAAGGCAGCCAGGGCTTCAACACGGACCCTGCTCCCCAGGGAAGTCCAGGCACATACTCAGCTCCAGGAAATTGCTCAGCCCTGCAGAAAGACACATTTACAACCGCTTCCACTTAGGGGAAAACCCAATGAATACTGCATTTCTGGAAGAGAGGAGGCTTCCTGGTGAGAGCATGAGCATCTTTGCTGAAGCTGTCAGCAAACACTGAGCAGCCACCTGTGCCCCATGCTACAAAAGAGAGAAAGTCTCCACTTAGCAGTGGGGGAGGGCAGTTAGACCAGGAGACACTTGATGTTTCTTTTACTTGTAAGATTCTCTGTCTCATCTGGACTGATCTGCCTATCTGCCCAAAACCTTATACAACTTTTTGAAAGTCATATTCAAGTCAAAATTCATTGAGGGCTCTCTGTCTAGTGTCAGGTACCACACTAGCTGTTGGAGACATCAAGATGCTCTAGAACATGTCCCTGCTTGTCACGCAGTAAGAATCCACTAGGTCTTTCTTAGCTTGTACCCCAGATCCATACAAATTGCAAGCCAAATTTTCTTATGACAGTAGTGTTCAACAGTTTACTCCGTCCGGCATGACTCTCTAATGTTGCATTTTAATTCCCTAGTACATACCTATAAAGCTATCCTTGGGTCAGGGCAAAAGTGGAGGCATATTCCCCATAAAATGTTCTTAAACTAAGTCCATTTGGACCTTTGAACCAGAGTAGGCCAATGTATATCACAGGCTCTGAGATGAGAGAAAAGAAGGTGAAATCTAAACTTCAGAGGACTGAAGAGGTAAATCCAGTGGATATATCATTAATATTAAGAAAGTATCTTCCCTTAAAAAAAATTATTCACTTCACAGTGTCTTACATTTAATAGTATAAATCACTGACTAACTGATCTAGAAGACAAAGTTCCAAAACTTAAAACTCAAGTCGTAAGAGATCCAGAAAAAATAAAAATTCACCCTTCTCCTCAAGTCAAGATCCTAAGATACAATGAAAAGACAATCTCTTTCCTCGAGGAGGTGATACTTTCCAAGAGAGATTTGAAAAATAAAACAGAGCAGATTTTTATATGTCCTATAAGAAAGGGCAGAAACGAAGAGAAGAGAAAATGTTTTCCACTTGGACCAGAGTGGACAGACAGATAGGAAACTACACAGGAAGTCTTTAAGGAGAGCATGGGATATGGCTTTGACCTTGAGGGGCTTCAACAGAGTGGGAGGAAGGAAGACACAGAAGACAGAAGGAAGAGCACGAGGCAAGGCCTCAGGCAGGAGCAGGCAGAGTTATGCTCAGGAAAGAGAAAGCTAAGGTTTGGCTAGGAGGTGTGGTACAAAATGGGGACCAGTGAGAGGTACGGCTGGAGATCAAAGTTTGCAGCCAGATCATGGACATCCTTGAAAGTCACACTAACAAGTTGGATTATATCTTACAGGTAATGGGAAGCCATTTAAGAGATGTCAGCAGGGAAGGGGCGCTATCAAAGCTATGCTTCCAAAGGATAATTCTGGCACGTGGCTTGAGGGTGAGTTAGGAGAACCTGATATTAGAGGCAAGGAGATCAGAGGAGGCTCAGCTGAAATTCGATTCCTGTTGCATGAGGACTTGAACCAGGGCAGTGTGAGTGTGACATGATAAATGCTAGAGATGAAACAGTAAGACAGTTTCAAATAATCCCAATCTTCAGGAGCACATCAATTTCAGACTTTCCATACTGGTCTCACCTTAAGACTCCAGTCTTAGGGCTCATTAGCCATCAACTTGCAATCCCTATTCAAGTCAAACCAGTCTCCATAGCAGCAATACATATACAGAATTCTTTCTGCCTTGGTATTTTTAAAGAATCTTTCCTTGTATCCCCTTCCACCGATCCGTGCAATGCCTGGCATACAACTGGTGCTCTCCAAATGCTTGTTGCATGAAGGAATGAGTGAACAAATGAGCAAACAGATCCCGAGCCTTCTCATATGTCAAGGTCATGCTCAAGTCTTCACTTCTCCATGGTGACATTTTGCAAACTCTGGACCACAGCATTCACTTCCTGGCCTGAGTTACACTGCACCCAACTGTATAGCTTGCCACTAAACACTAGTCTTTCATTGTCTACGTCGTTTTGAGTACACAAATCTCATTTTCCTTACTCAACTGCAATTCAGTCTCAGGCTGAGACCGAGTGTGATTGTACAACACTTATACCCGCTTCAGCACCCAGAGCAGGACTGAGCACTAGAAGGACTTCAAGAAGTTCCTTCTGAATGAAAATGAATTAGCCCCCGATAGCTATTCACAGTCCTGTGGTTCAAACTACTCCAACGGCAGCTCCACCCACCCATGCCTCCCCCTGCGAAATTCACTGCCTGTGCTGAAAATGATAATCCAGCCCTTCCTGTGCACATGCTCCCCTCACTTTAGGAAAATACAAATAAAAAGAAGTTTTCAAAAGCAAGGAGCAAAGAAACCTAACCCGTCTGTTTACTTCACCCAGCACACAAAGCTGTTGCTCTCCTTTTGCCTTCTTCCGGCACGTACCTGCCACCCCAAATTCACAGTTCGATTTTGCAGTCAGTCTGGGAAACAACTGCGAGTCCTCTTGTGGTGCGCCTCTGCCAACATGCATGTGTGGGCACACGCATTCACTCACACACCCACAGAGGAGGGGAAGCCACGCAAGGTGAAAACGTTTTGCCTTGTCACATTCCAACAGTCAGTGACTCCTCCAGAGGGGGCGGGCGCACAATGGACAGTCTGTCCTTAGCTCAGGCTTCCAGTCCAACAAAAGTTAACCCTTCCCTGGCTGCCTGAAGGACTTCTGGGGGACACCTGGCGGGTGGGGTTAGGAAGAATATAACTTATTTAAGAAATACTTAATACTTGCCCAGGAAAAACTGCTTAGCAGATCCCAGGAAAACAGAGGGGCAAGAAGGAGAATGGTGGTGATGTTTACCTGGAAAGAACTCTGGGACAGGAGTCCAGAAACTTGACCTCTACTCCTGGCCCTGCCATTCACAGGCAGTGAGATGCTAGACAAGCCCCTTACTCCATTTGAGTCCCTTACTCCATTCTCATCTCAGCAATGACTGGAGTGGGACCAAGATCTCTTCCATACTCAAGACTTTGTAATTTTACCCTGCACAGCCATAGACCCATGGAGACACTCCAGAATGGATAGTGTGACCTACAGAATTACTTCTCTTAGGGACCAGGGCAATCCTGCTTGGCTAGATGTGTCTCATAACCCAAAGGAGTCCCAAAGTGTACATAATTCTTCCCTTCATATTCGTAAGATGGAAGATTTTCTCCTGGTCTAAAATCCATTCTCCATCTGCAGCCTTGGGCAACTCTTACTAATCCCAGAGCTTGGAGGAAATGCAAATTCTCGAGCTCTATCTATGGAATTAGGGATCGAGGAGTGGGGCCTAGCACTCTGGCTTTTCCCAAGCACTCCAAATGGTTCTGGTGGGCTCAGGCTTTGCCTGGTCTATGTGCCTATCCCTACCAACTGCCTTGACCATAGAGCACTATTATTCTGTATTTAAGGGGAATTTTCCCTGATAGTAGTGTTCTAAGTCTCTTAACACTAAGCATCAGTGGCATTTTATTCATCCACGCAATCCCAACACCTAACACAATGCCCAACGCATAAGGGATACTCAAGAAATGTTGATTGACTGAATTAATAAGTGAATAAACCAAATGAGGCTGGGTGTTCCAGCATTATCCACCTCTCTCATCTGCTTTGCTCCCAGCGCACGTGCAGGCCATCATCACCCTGACTGCTGCTTTCCAAAGGGATGACAAGGTGGAACCCACAGAGCCATTGGTATATTTAACAGTGACTCAGATGATGTGGATTCTGGACCTAGTTCTGTAGTTCTGCCACTTGGGAGCCATCATAAGCACTTTTTCAGCCCAGTGTCTCATCAACAAAATGGAATAATGTCTTTCTGATCTACCTCGTTAGGTCAAGGTTTTGATCTTCTTTGTTGCTATTGTAGAACTACATGCTCTTTATTAAAAAAAATTTTAAATAACACATGTACCTCATAAAGTCCTAAAGGCAGACAATCACAAATATAGGAAGAGTTCCCTGCCTTATTGCCGACCTTTCCCAAACTCCCTTAGAGCTGTTTATCCTCATCTGCACCTTAGCTCCCTACTCTGCAATCCCCCTAAGACCAGGCACTTCTTTCATCTTTACATGTAGAAGGCACTGCGCTGCACAAGGAACCCTCAGGTCAGAACCTTTTCCCCTCAAACTCTGCAGAATGTCTTCTACCATTTGAAGTAATAGAAGAAAAAATGGAGGCTGACCTGGCTTTGCTTCTCTTGTAGGTAACTCGGTTTATGCTGTTATCATTGAAGATTTTTTTCATGATGGTAGAATTTTATTAATGACAAAATGAGTGTAGTGTGGACCTCCCTCCCTTTATTTTTCCTGGAACATGATGAGCTTTTTGGATCTGTATGGGCAGGTTCTTTCTAGTTCAGGAATATTTCCTTCAATTATTACCTTATTCATTTCTTTAATTCAATGATTCTGGCTTCTTCTAAGTTTTTCCTGTAGTTCTTAGTTTGGAACTCTCATCTCTGTTCTCCATTTCTCTCATTCTCTCTCTCACAGTTTTTATCTCTATATTTAGCGTGGTGAGGGAACACACCCTAATCCATCCTCCCTGATACCAATTTAATCCGATTTTCCATGCCTCCTTTGTCTATAATGACTACATTGTGGATTTTTAATTCTGCTATTGTACTTTTTCTATCCCTGCAATCCTTCTTTATTTATTCATCCTCCTTTGAGCTGATTCTGATGCCTTTCCATCTCCACATTTCTCCTTGTTACTTTCTGCTCTTGTTCCATCAGGGTCATGCTTCTTCCGGCTGTAGATGTCTGGAAGGTTTTAAAACTTCTTATTTTACTGATGTAGTAAATAACTATCATGATACTCTTCCTTTTATCTTGTTTTGAATGTTTTACTCCCTAAGATCTCACGTCAGATTCTTTCTCTTTACTCATGCTCTAATGAGGAGAGTCATACAGGGTAGTGTTGGCCTACAGAGGAAGTACTGGACTGCTTTTGACTCTATCTTCCATCCGTCTTGAAAACAGTCAAATCCTCCTGAGTTGTTGGGGTTATCAGTGATCCGATCATTGCAGTTTCCAGTGAACAGTACAGTGCGTGATGAAGCCAGCCTCTAGGAGCACATAAGAGCCTACCATGTGTATCTCTTCCCAACTCCACATTAAACAGTATCAAGTTGGTAGCTTGAAACTCGGCTGTGATAGGAGTGTTTACACAATAGGACTCAGCAAACTTCATACATCAGGGCTTAAAAAAATCCGGAGAACAGAGTGTTAAGCATTTACTAGAACACCACTGAGAGTAGACATCTATGCACTATTGTTTTGCTGGACTAAGAGGGGATTCTTCTGCTGGATTCTTTGAAACTCTGAATAGCTGAAATCCACAATACGCACCGTGACAAAGACTCTTTATGTCTACCTCAGAACTTTACTGAGGAAACCTCTCCACCTAGAAGTCAGTGCTCTAGTTCTACTCCTCCCAAAGCTCCCTCCTCCAGTCTTGCCCATTTGCTTTCTGATAGCTGTAGACTTTGAGAATACTATGTATAATGACGTTAGGGAGGAGATCATCTTTAGTTGTTAAAGTTGCCCGTGCAGTAGCCCTGATGACTGCCTATTTTTTTAGTTGACAGAAATTACGAGTTTCTGATTTTGGGAAGCAAATGGTATAAAAGGATAGAGTGTGATTCTACCCGGCTATAGATAGGGAAGTCATTATATTTTCAACCTAGGCTCATTAGCCTATAATCCCTTCTCAGATTCTGGCAAAAGACTGACTGAGTTTGGCTTTGGGGATGCTTGAGCATTCAACTTTCTGTATGTCTTCCAAGGTATTTAGGTGGGAAACTAGAAGTGATTTTTTTCCACTTAGGGAACTTTGCATGAGCTTGGGATCCTCTTCCCACTCCCTTGAGTTAATGCCTCTTCATTACTCAGGCTCAAGTCAAATGGCGCTTCCCTGAGCTTCACAAACCAGATCAGGATGCCCTGTTTTGTGCCTTTATAGCACAGTACTCCTCTTTCCCAGCATTTATTATATTTTATATTTAAATACTTGTGTCACTCTTAGTTTCAACATTGCCTCCTCCACCAGATGGTAAGCTCTTGAAGGTAGGAACTATCTTTTTGGCTCACCGTGGGACCCCCAGAGCCTAGCACAGCTCCTGATACATGCAGCAAAACTCCAAATTATTTGCTGAGTGAATGCTGAATGAGAGGCTGTATCAAAGGCCAGCTAGGCACCATTTGACTCAGGTACTCATGACTCTGAGTGATGTGTCTCTGAAATCCTTCCTGCTGCAAAAATACCCAGAGTAAATGCTCCATAAACACTAATAAATTGATCAAGTAACCCAACCTTACCCAGCTCTCAATCAGCGAAGGCAAAGGCAACTCTGCCCCATAGTTCCCTGACCCTGCAAACACACCAATGGTCTACAGCAAAGAAAGCTCAGATTCAGTGGCTTCTTTACAGGACATGTCTATGTGGTCCCTTCCTGATCACAGTTCCTGTCCTCCAAGCTGAGACTACTACACCCACCACATTCCCCAGCAGCATCTCCTGAGTTGCAGCTCCCCCAAATCCTGCTGATTTGCATTACATCATATGATTCCTTGTTATTTCCTCTGGCGGACCTGCCCTTTCTCTTTTCTCCACTTGGTTACTCTAAGTCATCCTTCAAGAATTGGGTGAAGCTCACCTCCTTCATGAAGACAGGCTAGACTTTCCTTTTCTACTCCTTTCCCTTTGTGTGTACACATGTGCACACACACAGTCTCACACTCATACTCACAGATGGTCTTGCTCTCACTTCCTTGGGTATTCTGCTATCAAAGCATTTGGCAAAGGATACTGCCATCTTCCATTTACTTATCTTTCTCTCCCACCAGACCAGGAACTCCATAAGGAAAGGGTCTGGGTTTTACATGGGTCTCTATCACAGTTCAGAGCATAGTGAAGACACAGAGTAAGAGTGCAATAACAAGTGTCCACGCCATGTTATCTCCCTGAAAAGCACAATGAAGTAGCATCAATTTGACGTCACAGGTGTAGATTACTTAACCTCTCTTTCTCACTTAGCAAACATGTTCTTGGAAAATATATTTAAACGGCTCAAATATTATGTGGAAATTGGGTAATAATCCTACCTCACAGGTTGTTTTGAGAAGAAACTGAAGATTAAATAAGATATTTATGAAATAATACGTTGGGATCACCTTAGCAGATGTTCAAATGTTTTTGGTAAATTTGATTTACTTTCGTAGTCTCTGTCACCTAAGCTAGCATTTGGCTAAATGGTGCCTTCTCTTCACAGATCCCAAGTAAAACCTGAGGGACAAGGGTTGGAGACCAACCTCCTCTAGCTCCCTACACAACAGGAAGCACAAACAAGTAGTTTAATTTGCACCTGCTAACTTGAGCGCTTTGATATTGGGTATTGCTTTCTCCTTGTTCCCAGTCTGTCTCGTAGAAGAAATAAGACTAAGTTCAGCCGTGAATTCCAGATTCAATTCCCTGCTCTGCCAATTGGAGCTGGGAGGCCTTGGGCAAGTTTCATTTTCTCACTGGGTCTCCCCATCTTCATTTGTAAAATGAGGGGATGTGATGAAGTGAACTCTGTGGCTCCCTCCAGCTCTGACATTCTCAGGTGCGGAGTCTTATCTCCTCAACTTGACAATCAGAGGTACTTTCAAGACAGGGGTGGTACCTTCCACCTCTTTATAGAGCCTGCTGGTTCTGAAGCTCTGCCCGGCTGGGTCAGCTGAGCCTAACACAAAACTAAGGATCAGTCCTGGGCTGGGGAATCTCCCTGATAGGGAGAGAAGCAGAATCAAGCTTCTGAGGCCTGAGGCTGGGCATGCTGTTAACCAGCAGTTCCAGCTCTAGCTGCAAAAACAGTGCCTCCTCTGGGAACCCATAACAAACACAACACAACACAACAGCAGGAGCCATGGGTCTTGGGCCCCCAGGGAAAGATCTCTACAGCACTGACTGGGCCAATCCTCAAGTTTCCAGGTTGAGCTCCAGTTCTGTAGTATTACCTGTGGTCTCTGTTGCTCCATGCAGCCAAGGAGAGTGCACACTCGTAATGAGAGAGGGGTAAACACAACCAATGGCCTTTACAGGCATTATCAGTTTAATCCAGACAAGAACCCTGTGATGCAGAAGACCTGTCCTCTTTTTATAGATATGGAAATGATGGTCCAGAGAGGTTAATAGTTTGCTCAGGGTTACACACTACCTATGCCAGATCCACAATCAAATCCAGGTTTATATGATTCCAAAGCCTCTGCTTTTACTTTTACATCATGATGTCTCTCATACGCAAAGCAATGTCAGCTTTTAGCCAAATACTCCTAGCTGCTTCTACAGACATGAGCTACAAAACCAGTTTGCCATCTGACTGGCCACACCACTTAAACTCTCTGGGCATCAGTTTTCTCACCGGCCCTCCTAGTATCTTCACAGAATCTTACAAGGAAAAAAGCAAATAATATATGCAGAATAGCACCTAAGTAGGTTAAATATGGTAGACCTGTAAGAAGTAACTGTGATGATAATATTTCTTGTCCAAGTAGAGTAGAGACGTCCACGTGGTAGAGAAAATGATCCTGTTTTCAACATGCATCTGATATATAACAGGTGCTTTAAGTTTATTATTTGATTTAACCTTGAGATGTGCCCATTTTACAGATAAGAAAACTGAAGTTGAGAAATTCATTGAAATCAGAGAGGTAGTTC